TCGTACTATCCCAGCGGAGCCGGTATCGCCCCCCTCGGTTCCCTCGCAGAAAAACTATACGGTGGCATGTGCTGTTCTAGCAACACATTTGTTCACGAATCCCTTGAAAGAAAATAGGACGAAGTGCACACGCGCGCGTCGTCGCGCGCGCATGCCGAAATCCTTCAAAAATCTTCGGTGTCGAAAAGGTTTCAAAATAGAGTGTCCAAATAAACAGGCTTAATATATTACAAACATAGGGTTTCGCAACATGGATTTTCAACAAAAACGTGCGCGCGCTCGTTTTGTTCAACATGTTCATCACAAACTACCAAACGGGCTTCGCACGCGCGCATGTCGAAATCGTTCGAACGTTTTTTGCGCGCGTGCTGGGGTGGCACGATCCGTGTCACATAATACCATGCGAGCCACTCTCGAGAATCTGCCGCGCACGCATGTCGAGTTCCTTCCAAAACCTTCATCACCGACGCGAAGACGCCGTCATCGTCGGTGGCGTGATCCGCATCGGCGCCGTCACTGGCTGCCCCGTCGTCGCTGTCACAAGCATCGATACTATCATCATCGTGTGTACCGTAGTCGACGTTGCCATGGTACCGCGCCCGCCCAGACCGCCGATTTGCACTGAAATGCCCGCTGGGATGTGCCGAGCGGTCAGCGCCAACGCATTCGCGTCGGTCGCGCCAAACTAGCTGGCCGCTGAGCGCGCGAGCATGCGCGGGCTAGCGCGGCCGCAGAGATGCACCAGCCAACACCCAGCACTCATCGCAATCGCTCCCGCATGGGGTTCGCAAACCTAGCGGGTGGGTGGGTGGGTGGGATGATTGCGCGAGCAGTGGTGTTGACATCTTCAAGTTCGGAATGTGAACCCTCTTTATGTACATATATAAATATATACACACATTCCACCACCCTCCCCCCTGCCCCCTGAACTTATCGATTCCCCGGGAACCAATGCAAAACACAGGTGATTCTGACCAAATGTCCATCCGATCTGTGAACGCATACGATCCTAGCCAAACCGGCATCGGCCCCATCGGTTCCCTTGCACAAAAAAAAAAAAACGTTTCTCGCAGAGTCGTTTTAGAAAACGGGACGAAGTGCACACGCGCGCGTCGTCGCGCGCGCATGCGTAAATCCTTCAAAAATCCGTCGTCCCGGAAGGATTTCAAAATCGAGTGTCCAGAGACACACACACAAAGAGAAACACACACACACACACACACACACAAACAAACATGGTTTCGCAACACGGATGTTCGCGCGCACTCTTGCGAATTCCGATGCAAACCATACATTCTCCAACATGTTCATAACATGCTACCAAGCGGGCTTCGCGCGCGCATGTCGAAATCGTTCGAACGCCCGTGCGAGCGTGCTGGGAAGGCACGATCCGTGTCACATAATACCATGTGAGCCACTCTCGCATGTCTGCCGCGCGCGCATTTCGAGTTCCTCCCAAAACCTTCATCACCGACGCGAAGACGTCGTCATCGTCGGCGGCGTGATCCGCATCGGCGCCGTCACTGGCTGCCCCGTCGTCGCTGTCACCAGCATCACTACTATCATCATCGTGTCTACCGTTGTCGACGCCGCCATGATACCGCGCCCGCCCAAACCGCCGACTCGCTCTGAAGTGCCCGCTGGGATGTGCCGAGCGGTCAGCGCCACCGTGTTCGCGACGGTCGCGCCAAACTAGCTGGCCGCTGAGCGCGCGAGCATGCGCGGGCTAGCGCGGCCGCAGAGATGCACCAGCCAACACCCAGCACTCATCGCAATCGCTCCCGCATGGGGCTTGCAAACCAAGTTGCGGGTGGGTGGGTAAGATGTTCGTGCGAGCAGTGGAGTGGACAATTTCAGATTGAGCATTGGTGGGTGTTGCCCCATAGAGCCATCCCCAACGCGGCCCCTGCGCCTTCCCCGGAAGCGCGAGATTGCAGCGTCGGTCCTGCGGGCAAGCTCAGCCGTAGTGGTCGCCAGGATAGAGAGGGGATCATTTTTATTTCTCATTTTTCGAACAGGGCAACCCCCGCCACTGCGGTGCGGCCTTCAACCGCGCTCGCCCCCCCGTGCCCCCAGACGCCCCTAACAAAAATCACCGCGCGCTGCTGCAGCCAAATAAACACCCATTTAACGCGTCGATGCACATTGACACCCTGATGCTGAACCGGCGAGCGCGCGGCAAGCTCATCGGGAAGAGCGGCAAGCGCCCAATCCCGCGGGCGGCCCTTTTCACCCTGGCTGACCCCGGGTAAGGGTGTGTTTAGGACCAATGAGAGGCGGGGGAGGGGGGGGCAGAGAAGGAGGGGAATGAGGGGGGCAGCCTAGCGTTGTTCCTAAGGGAGAGCGGCACCACCATGCAGACTAACGAGGCCATACCCCCTCCGCAAGAAGAGGGAGAAGGGGGAGGGGAGAGAGGAGGAGGAGGAGGAGGAGGAGGAGGAGGAGGAGGAACGCATGAGGGGAATGTAGAAGAGGGTGTATGTGTAGTATGGTGACTCCGACACCGTCTTGGCCAAGATACAATGGAAGTGCGAGAGCACGGCAAGACGCCGGAAAACACACATGTACACGAACTAACTTGGTGGGCGCGTCCGCTACCTCGAAGAAGAATCCAACAGAACGCAACCCGAATACAGGCATCCGGAAAATCGCACGTGGACAGCGCAGTCCTCCCTGTATCTGTCATGAGAGTCTGCCCATGACAGCACCAAGTCTTCCAAGGTGATGCAACGAGATCCCTCAAGAGTGGAAGAGGAAGCGCACCGCACCGCCAAGGCAGCACCCGCGCCCCGTGGCCCGGGTGCGACAGGGAAGCCCCGCCGGCACAGCTCGTCCTCGGGCGCGGCATAGTACGAGGATCTGGTCGTGGGAATGACGATCTCCTTGCCCGAGCCCCTGCACCGGACGTCCACGACAGACTCCAGGGGCACGCCGCGGCGGAGGCCGAGATCTCCATCGACGTCGGGCGGCGCGCACACGTGGACCTCCGAGTAGAAGGCGAAGCTCGGGCGCGCCGACGAGAGAGGCCAAGGCAGAGGGCAGGGGGTGCACATCGTGTGGCCCGAGGCAAGTGTGCGCGGGGGGGGGCGGGCGCGCGGGGGGGGGCCAGGGGATGCGCTGCAGGATGGCAGGACGGCCCATGCCATCCGGCCGGTGTCGTGGCCCCGGCCATGATGTCCACCCCGCCCCTCTGGGGAGACCAACAGGTGCCGATGCCCCGCTGCCGCTCCTCCCCGACCTCTCCCAGGGGGCGCTCTGGCCTGACTCGCGAGGCGAATCCAAGCGTCGTGGCGACGAGGGCCTCCCAGGAGGCCCCGAGAGAAGCGAAAACGCGGCACGGGTGGCAGCATCGGTACCTTCTCCGCCCTGCAGTCCTCACCCCGTCTTGGACGCTCCCGAGAAGAACAGAGGGCAGCCTGGCTCGTGGACCCCCGGGCCTCGGAGCACGTGCTCCCCCACCGCCACGCGGCAGTACGCGGGGCAGTACAGCAGGTCCGCGCAGGCGGCGGCCTCGGCGCCCCAGGCGCTGCACACGACGATGGAGCCTCCGCACGGCACCTCCGGGGGCTGCGCGCAGCTGGTGCCGTGGCTGAAGCCGCGGAAGAAGAGGGAGTGCGGACGCGCAGAGCCCGGGGCGCCCGCTCCCGAGGCGGGCCCCCTCGCGCCCGAGAGCGCCAGCCACACGGGCCTCGCGTAGAAGCTCAGCACCTCCAGCGCGCAGTGGACCTGCCGCTCGCCCGGCGCGCCTGGCCCCCGCTTGATCAGCTCGGCCTCGACGCCGCTGTGCGCGAGGCGCGCGTACCGCGCCAGCGCCCGCGGCGAGGGCGCCGCGATCAGCCGCCGCAGCGCGGAGTCCCCGCGCCACTGGGCCAGCGCGCTGGCTGCGGCAGGGCCGTCGTGGGTGCTGGGCGCTTCCAGGCTGCCCGGTTCCTGCTGCCGGGAGGCCCCCAGCTCTGCTTGGATCGCCGCGGGGGGTGCTAAGGGGATGGGGGGGTTAGAAGTGGATGCTAAGGTGGGTTCTATTCCAGCCTAACCCAGCTCAGAAGTGCGCTGCACGTGCTCAACGTAGCTTAGGCGTACAGATCTGGGCTAAGCGGGCGGAGCCCACCTCATCACCTCAAGCCAACTAGGGCACTCGTAACCCACTTATAAGTTGGGCCAGGCCAGGTAAAACCATTTTAGCATCCGCTTCTAACCCCCCCATTCCCTCAGGAAGCCCCGCGGCGATCAAAGTGGAAGAAGAAACATCGGCACAGGCACAAATGGTCGCAGGCCCGACCGCAATTCATGGATCGGCGCTGGACCGCCGCGCTGGCGCGCGCCATGGGCTGCGTCAGGGGCTGCGCCGGAGGCGCCGACCAAGAAATCCGCACGGACCTCCGAAAATGTGTGCATATGCCGATGTGTATTCTCCGAAGCTCGGCGAGGAAGCGGTCCACACCCTCCCGAGTAAACACCGTGGTGTCCGGGTGCGCCGAAGACGGGGACCAGACGAGGGGGGGGGCCAGTGCATCACAGCCAGAGGCGACGAGGGGGGCGGGCAGGGGTGGCAAGGGAAGGCACTGACAGAAGAAGAGGGGGCAATGAGATCTGGAAAAAATCCACGGCCGTGTCCATGATATTCACACACACACACACATACACACATACACACACACACACACACCTTAGGAGCTGTTGCTTCGCATGCCACGGCGGCGGCTCGGCGACACGCCATGCCTTGCGATCGGGTATCGTGTCGCTCGGTCTCGCGGGACGGGAGTCCGGCAAGAGCTCGGGACGGTGTCGCTCGGGGAACGGAACGTGGTAAGCGTGCCGCGCCGAAGCGCGGTGGACCAAAACATGCGGCGCGACAAGAGAACTTTCCCGACCGTTAGAGGCAACTCACGGAAGCTTCTGGTCGTCCCCACGGCGCCCACGTCAAGGCTACTGGGCGCTACCTGGGCGCTGCGGGGCGCTCCCAATTGGGCGCTGCCTGGCGCCATGCAACGCTGCTGGGCGCGCGAGCTCGCCGAGATGCGCTCGATCCGAGACGAGCGGAAGCTCCCGTGACCTACGATCTGACGACATGCCGTCCCCGCCCCGCCCTCGGACGCCCCCGAGGTGTACGTCCCCGGCTCGTCGTCCGGCGTCTGCGGGGCCGTCAGGGCGCAGCGCCAGACCTCGGCGGCCCCCGCGCCCAGGCCGCCCAGCGCGGCCGCCCAGGCCCGCGCCGCGGCGGCGGCGGCGCAGAGGGACCGCACGTCGGAGCCGAGCAGCGCTCGGGCCTGCAGGTCCGCGGGCAGCTCCGGGGCAGGCGGGCGGTGCCCCATGCGGAGCTGCACGAGGCAGCCTCGGCTCGGCGGCGCGCGAGGGGGAAGGGCGCGGAGGCGAGCAGGAGAAGGCCTCCCGCTCAGGAGGCGGCGGGGCCTCTCGGAAGCCCTCGCGCCTCCGTCGCGGAGGGCCTGCTCTGCGTCTCCGGGGCAGGCTCCGAAGGCTTCCCAGCAGGCCCAGGGGGCTCCCGAGCCTGCTGCAGAGGCCCGCCCCTGCGAGCTTCCCCCCAGGGCTCGCCGCCGGCTGTCGGTGATGAGTGGGCGCTCGGGGGCCGACGCGTCCCCCTGCTGCCCCTTGACGTTCGGGTCGTAGCTTGAGGTCGGGAATGTCCCCCTACAGGCGGATCTTGGACGAAACATAATAATCGGCGGTGGACAAACCTCCCTTTAGTAAACCTCTCCTTAGTGAAAACGGCCTGGGACCGAAACCGACGGACCTGGACCCGCAAAAATGACGACTGCGACGCCGTCTCGCGAACCGAAAACGGCCAATTCCTTAATCGACGTGTCAGGGTAGGAGGTCTATCCACCTCCGAAATAAGAAATACCCGAGCAGTATTCAAAAAAGTACCCCAAAAATGCTCTCCGAGCATCGCCCCCGGACTAATTATCCGCGGCCTGCCCTGGAATACTCCTCCTGTGGAGGGACAGGCCCGACTCCATCGTGGCTCGGCTCTCCGCCGGCCGTGCGGGACGGCCCGGGCGCAGGCCTGGAGAGAGCGCACCCCCCCGAGAGGCTTCCCTGGAGGCCCCCCGGGGAAGAGCGCCGGCGCAGGCGCCCGAGCGCCTCGCGCCCGAGGCCTCCCCGCCCCCGCCCGCCGAGCCGGTGCGCCCCCCCGACGCAGACGCCCGAGGGCCTCGAGCCCAAGGCCTCCCCGCCCCCTCCCCCCGCCGAGCGGGTCCCCCCCCCCCTTCTGGCGTCCCCGCCCCCCCTCCCTCTCGGGGGCGGCCAGGAGGGGGGCGTCCATAAGAGGGGGGGGGGGGGGCGCAAACAGCAGCCGGCGGCACGTGCGCGGCCCAGGGGGGGGGGGGGGCCGGGGGGAACGCAGTGAAGAATCAAGAAGATGAGGGCCACCTGGGGACTATCATGGCCCCCGCCATGGTATCCACCCCCTCCACCCCCCCACCCTTAACTTCAGTGCTACCAAAGGAGGCCTCCAGACCTAGAGACCCAGCTGGCCTGCCTACAACGTCGAGAGAATTCCAGGTGCCGAGGTCCCTGGTGCTGATTTTTCAGCCCTCCTAAGTGTCGGTAGTCGTCACCCCCCTCTTTGAGTATCGTTTAACCGATCCACATACCCAGCGGCGTGGCCATGGTCCTCACTGGCCGTTTGCCTCCCCTAGATGGGGATTAGGCCGTTTCCTTCCGGTTCCGAGGGTGTATCCCCAACGGGGGTGATCATTTGGTGGGGGTCTCGAAGGTGGATTTTGATGGGAGGTGAAATCGGTTAAACGATCCGAAAGCCCTCCTGAAGGTCCGTGTCTGACTTTTTAAGCCCTCCTGAGGTCAGGGTAGTCCTCACCCCCCTTGATGGGCCTGTTTTCCCACCACCACCACCAGAAGTTAGCCACCAGGGGGGGTTCCTCACTCCTCCTCTCCTCCTCCTCCTCCTCCTCCTCCTCCTCCTCCTCCTCCTCCTCCTCCTCCTCCTCCTCCTCCTCCATCTCCTTCCCCCTCCAACTTCTGGTGGTGGTGGTGGTGGCCAACAAGCCCACCACCCCTCTCTTTGCGGCCCCCGGCGCTCGCCGCCGATCCGAGCAGCGTGCGCGCGGCCCGGGTCGGGGCAGCGCTCTCCGCGCCTGGCTATTCAGGCGGCGGCGCACACACCGAGGGCGCCAGCTGGCGCGAGGGCTCGCGCGGGCGCCCGCGGCCCCGGGCCGCGG